AAGAACTTGTGTCGCTAAAGTTTCGTCGGAACGAAGTTACGGAAAGTTAATTAACAAACGGAGACGTAACAATGTATATAAAAATATGTATTTTTGTTATTTCTATCTGTGTTTATATATATATATATATATATGCCCAAGAAAAATATTTCGTATTGTTACTTTAATATATGGGTTTAATTACGACTAACCTAAACCTCTTAAGCTAGCCAAATGTTGTGAGATACTATTGGGATTACGTCCGATAAAATCGACACCCGTACGAGTATTCTTGTGATAGATCAATGCATTCTAATAATTATCGGTTTTTGTTTTATGAAGTTACATATTCCTCGTAAGACTCGTATATTGAATCAAACTATGTTATTTGTTAGATTAATTTTTAGTCCTGATGCATGCTTGTTTATTTTAGTGCAACTATACACAATGAAATATCTGCTTTGTCTACCACAGGGAATCGAACTGCAGATTTTGGCATTGTAAGCCTGTGAACTACCAAAGCGAATGATTTGGGTATATAGCATGCTTTGATGATAACTTATTCATAACTATTGAAATTACTGTGATAAAATTTGAAGTAAATTTTAACTTTCAATAGCCAATCACACTATACACTTTATTGAATTTATCATCTTTCAAAATATTGTGGAATTTATACTGATTACGTTTTTTAACACAACTCAGCATCAATTTTCCCCAGTATTGTAGTTCTTGCTTTAACTTTAACTAGATGGTTCAGCGCTAAGCCTGAGGGTTTATCACGCTAACAATCTGGCTTCGATACCCGCGGTGTACACAGCAGAGATAGCCCATTGTGTAGCTTTGTACTTATCAACAAACGTACATTTAACTTTCGAAGAAACAGTTTAACATAACACAATGGACAGCAAGAGACCATTTGATCCGTCAAAGCTATCCTTGCACTTTCATTCTTGACAGAAGTAGAATTGTAAACCTAACCTATATTTTCAGGAGAATGTTGATGCCTCTCTTAAACTCCTATAAAGTGTTGGCTTCAACTATCGCTAGCAGTAACTCATTCCATAAGTGAATCACCCTGTTAGAAAAATGATACTGTCTTAACTTGAGCCTAGCCTGTCTTTTCCAAATCTTAAATTTTTGTCCTCATGTTCAATTATCTTCAGAATATAGCACAAAGAAATCATAGGCCTTTATCCTATTGATCTCCAGGACAAACGTATAAACTTCAATACGATCGTCTCTAAAGATAATTTTCATATCAACATACAAAATAACGACAACATTACTAAACTGTAGAAATAACCTAAAATTTTGTATTCAGTACACTTTATCATTGGCACAACAAGTTATAAAAGTATTTGCAATATCTTTCTTTTTTTATCACTAAAAGGTGGCGCTTTCATTATAGATCATGACACACCCAAACTGAGTTCTGTCAGCAGACGTTGAAATTCATGACATCATTGGTTTTGTTCACAGCGATTGCTAGGGTCAACAAGCTACGATTTGACACTGGTTACTAGTCACATTGCTTCTCGGGTTGTTGGAGCTAAGTTTTTGTGGCTGGTGATTTCAATTCAACTTCTACAAGTAAAGCAAAAAGCCAACGCATGGTTTTGTAAGTAGCGTTATAAATTTTGTGAATCATTTATTACTGTTAATGTTACTAAAGAAAGGTATTAGTTTTCAAAATCGGCAATATATAATGTCAAATAATATGTCATTCCAAATTTGATGAGAACTGAAGCTAGTGAAAGCTTGAAACTAAGAAGTAATAGATACGTCTGTAGTACCAGTAATATGAATAATAATTAAATACTCATGATATATCGAACATTACAGAAGTTACATTGTTGTTTTTGTTGACCTTAGCTTTGTTATTGTTAATTCGTATGGTGCCATGGTGGTTTTTCGTTGTACAATAATTTAAAATTAAAATGACTTGCATAAAATTGCTTGTAATTTAGTAGTAGTGACTAGTATTAATAAGTAATAAGAAAAGTTTAGTTTAAAATATACATGAATATATAAAAATGTTCGTGCAAAACAAGAAGCAGAAAAATAGCGCAGTACTAAACTTAAACTGTGAGAAGGGCTTGTTAATTGTTATACAATGTAGAATCTAGGTTATATTAATAATACTGTAGTCTGATAAAACTTACGACTTTCATGGAAATTTGTAAGATAATTATTGACTTTATGTAAGATTTCAAGATCATTTTATGTGTAGTGAAAGTAACAATTATAGTATTTGACTATATTTCATTTATGACCGTTTATATGCAATTGTGATTAAACTACATATGTTTAAAAATGTGTTTTCCTGCGACTTGAATGTTAGGTTACTTTTGATTAGTGTATTGTTTTATC